CAAGGCTTGGGAAATTAAAGATGAGGCTAAAAAAGTTGCCTAGGAAGCTATGTAGAGAGCTAACGAATTGGCTAATGGTATTAGAATCAATGAGATTAAGAAGGTCTAGCTAGAAGTAGAGATCTAGACTAAAGCCTCAACTAAGGTATAATTAGCTACACTATTAGGGGACTACTACTAATATAGACACAGAGAGTAGAGGAGCTTGCCTTTACCATTTGGCGCTATAAATGGTCGACGGCATACAAGTCAACTCTAAAGCTTATGAACAAAGTGAATATAGACCCTAACTTCCTTAAGAACCTTCCTCTAGCAATTGATAAGGAGACTAGGTAAGAGTCACTATAGTAATCATTATAGTAATCAGCTAACACGCATGTACAGAATATACTATAAGAAGACTCCCCCTCACCTCTACTTCACAAAGCTTTAATTGGCCGTCTAGAGAAACTTTACGTCATAGAACTTTAAGGATGGCTAGGTCTTCTCCCTAGCCCTGCTAAGTGGTATCCTAAACACTACCTAGTATGGATTTCAATTGGATTTAGATGCTACTAGTGCATTTAAGGCTTGGGAAATGTTAAGGGAGGAAGCTGAACTAGTAGACTTCAAATGGATTCTCCCATCCAAGGATAGATTGTTCCTGTTACTACTAACGAAGGAGTCTAAGGAGTTTCTTGCCTAGTTCTATAGTATGTAGATTAGGTACTACTTTTAGAACAGTCTAGTTAGCTTAATACACTACTCTACACTATACTCCTTAGTTTACCATAAATATTACTATAATTGGCTCTTATTCTCAAAGGCCTATATTATTGAAACCTACAATAAAAATATACTCTACAAGCAATCTAAAATATTCTAAAGATGTAAATTCAAGTGAACAGAGAGGTACGTACAGAATAGATATATGCCTTGAGAAATATTAAGCAGTTTTATTTTCTTTAAAATAATATAATCTTGATATATTCAAATATCTTGTCTTAAGTTCACTAATACATGCACATACCTATAGTGATGTATTTTCTCTCAATGATCTTTAATTAAGCAACATAACACTGAAGGTTGAGTCCTCTTAACAACTAACTACTAAATTGTCACGAGTAGCCTCACGTGCAGGACCTGTCACGTGCGCTATAGTGCCAAGGTGGAGGGTCTTCCCTCGGTACCCTGCACAAGAACGTATATAGTAGGAACGCGGCCCTTAATCAGAAGGGCAGCATTCAGTCTTCGTATCAATAGAGAGCTCCATAGAACCATCTCTTAGGTTCCTAGCCTATAGGAAGTGAAAGGAGGTCCAATGCCATACTGACATTCGTTGCACTCAGTTTGCTATCAAACTCAAGAGCAAACTTAGAAATCTCCTCCTCAAACCTACAAAGTCACTATTTGCTACAACCCTCTATGATTCATTACACGTCATCGCTCCTTAGTTACTGGGCTGATATTACCACAGAGCATATCTCTATAACCATCTATGATTCATTACACATCATCACTCCTTAGTTACTGGGCTAATACTACCACATGACATATCTCTACCAACTAGAGGCCTAGGAACATGAACGATAGCTCCAAAAGCTTCTACAACCCTCTATGATTCATTACACATCATCGCTCCTTAGTTATCCACAAGATTGGTTAAGTTATGACATAATTTGTCTATAGGGGTACTCTTACCTTGGACTTCCTTTCACTTCCTATAGGCTAGAAACTTGAGAGATGGTTCTATGGGATTCTCTTACGTTGACTACAGTTACCAAGCCTGGTTAGCCATAGAAAGTCTTGGAAAATGAGAGAACTACACTCATTTAGCATAAATAGCCTTTCCTTAAGAAATGGCAAGCAGACAATACAGTAAATTGACTATCACATACTTCTACGTCTTTTCCAAGCTTCCAAGCATTGATCTTGTTATTCCTTGTTTCAGAAAAGTCAGTGAGGTGCTAACCTCTGACTTACCCCTGAGTTCTCAGACTCAACATCTGTTACAACTTGTTTAAACCACTCCACTACATCATACACTTGATTGCTGCGTTGTGGAATAGTCTAAGCTACAACCCTTTTGCTCTGTTTCCTAAGACAGTGTGTTGTCTTAGTAAAATCATCCCTTCCCTTGGGTGGCTAGATTCTCACATCTGGTGCACCCACCATTACATCCAAGGTCAGAGTACGCCTATAGACAAATTATGTCATAACTTAACCAATCTTGTGGGTAACTAAGGAGCGATGACGTGTAATGAATCATAGAGGGTTCCATGTTGTTTAGTGGCAGTTGGCATAATTCACAGAAGCCTCTGCCTTTGTTGTGAGGGGCAAGTAGAGAAGTAAACGAATACTCCGTAGAGAGCAGAATATTGCATTGCCCAGCCCCCTCGGGGCCGCCGATTGATTTGGCCCCCAGGTCTCGGAACCAGATCAGACTGTTCCTGCTCGCCCCCACCTCCGGTCCGTAGTGGAAGATGAGAGACGTCACGTGCGGGCTGGTAAGGCCAGCCCCCTTCTTTAGGCTCTCCATCGTCTTCAGAGGCCCCGGCACCGACCTCGCGAGCGCCTTCGACGACCGTAAAACAATAGTGAGAATAGAATTTTATAAGCTTTAACTACAGGTAGGAAGCCTTTGCTGGGTGAGTCGATCCGGGGGATTTCAGGGATGATCGTCTGTAACGGAGAATTAATACCAGCATTGAAGTTTAACTTGCCGAAATTATAATTTTTGTTATTATTTTCAGTAACTATGACAATATAGCCCCGAGTAATAAAGAAGTGTTTATTTTTCTTATAGTTAACGTACATGTATAGCGAAAGCGCCAAACAAGCGAAAGCGCCAAAATTATCTACCCTCACGACAAACATTGCGATAAATCTACCACAACATTAGAAATCAATTGAAACTACTCGGAGTCCTCTTCCTCAGAGGTGTCTATTACAATCTGACACGTGCGCGCATTGTGCCCAGTCTCACCACACTTGCCACAGCGACGGGCACGGGTTTCTTCCCTTGGCTTCCGACCACGGCTTGCCCTTATTTCCTGCTCTACCTGCTGCACAACATCCCTCTCATCCTGTAGCTCTTGCGCCCCTTGTTGACTAAGTGATCCTCCTTGCTGTAGTCGTGTTTTCCTAGCTCTCCGGCGCTTGCTTAGTACTTCATTTGCCTGTCGTAGGTTTTGGTTCTCTCCCTTTAGCAGTGCTAATTGATGCATTATTTGCGATGCACCCTTTGTAAACTGGTCAACAGCTGCATAGATTGAGGTTGGAGAGCTATTTTGATGGCGTGAAATCCGAGTTTTAATAAATGTAGACTGTGACATAGCTTCAATTGGGTTGTTTGGTGTCTGAGAAACCCAAGGTTGAGCAGTACCTGGGCGGGAGCTTGGAGGCGTTGGTGTCCTTAACTTAAGATCAAGTGTAGATATCACTCTCTCAGGGTCAAATGGAAGAAGCCCTGCCCCTCGGAACCCGCCTCAAATGTTACTTTCCGTCATTGTAGTGTTAAATGCAGCGTGGAAGGCAGGAAAGAAGTCATCCTTTGTAATATGAGAAATATGAGCCTGCATCATATCTTCAATTTGCCGACCATAGGCCTGCTTTAACGGGCCGAAACAGCCAACATCAAGTGGCTGGAGTAGATGAGAAGAGTGAGCAGGCATACAAAGCGTAATAATGTTGTGTTCCTTGCAGTACTCCTCAAATTCATCTGAGTGGTGGCTCTCATGACCATCAAGGACTAACAAGCGATAACCACCAACACTCCGGGCCTTTGTATGCTTCTCAAAGTGCTGAATCCAATCCATGCCTCTCTCGTTTGTAGTCCAGCCATTTTCAGTAACAGAAATCACCCAATCGCTTGAAAATCCACTATTCTCATACCAAGATGTAAGGTGGTTTTTGCCTGCAACAATGATAAATGGTGGTACTGCCCAACCTTGAGAACTAACGCCTTGGATTACTGTAACCCATTCCCGATTACCAGGCTGTACCTTCTTTGCTTTTGCCCGCCCGTCTGAGCTTGTTACAACCATAGCAGTTGAGATAACGCCCATCATAAACCCAGTCTCATCAAAGTTGTAGATATCTGCTTCATCGATACCATATTTCGCAATTGTGTTACGCACAAGCTCAAACCAGCCATTAATAACTTCTGGATCTTCGCACTTAGCCCTCTGGTAGTCGTATTTGCGCTGAAAGCGTGTCTGGAGCTCTACACGCTGCTTAACAAAGTTTGAAGCCCAACGCGACCCAACGCGTGACGCGTCGCGTGTTGCAAGTAGTCGACTTGCCATATCTTCAACAACAGACAGCCGAGGAGGAAACCCTTTGGCAGCTAGGTCGAGTATATAGTGAACAAGGACGGACTCCTCTAGGTTAGTTAATTTCCGTGAGTTGGCTTGGATATCGCGTCGTGAAGGTACACCTTCTAGACGACGACCTAGCTTGCGGTGGTCCACAGAATAGATCCTAGCAGCAACTCGAAGGCGTAACTTTGGGTCGCTTTGCATAGCCTGGATAGCTAGCACTAATTGGCTTTCATCGTTTTTATGGGGCATGTTTTGTTGTTGAGGAATTTAACATTTAGTTGGGGGGTTTGGTCACCGCATCATTTTGGCGCTTTCGCTTGTTTGGCGCTTTCGCTATACATGTACGTTACTGTAAAATAGTGCCATTATGAACAGTCTCTTCGGATTTTTGGGCAGGAGGCAGTACTGGTGGGGTTCGCTCTGCCAAGAGCCGCGCGGGCCTTCCCGCGTTCATGGTTCGTGTCCAGGGCGTCTTATGTGGCTGAGCATGGGCTGGTTTTGGGGCACTGTGGCTTTAATACCAGAGTATGCTGTCCTTTCTAGACATTTTTCCGACGACAACGAAACAACAATCTCCCGAGGATAGTATTGGGAACACAACTTCGCACACCGATGATTCCTCGCTGCTAGAAGAGACCTTAGTCGCGTTATTGACAAAAACGACATTGGAAGCTGCGATACCTGTAGCTGGGCGCAAAGATGCGTCTCTCCTCGATGCCGTTTGGGGGGCTAGGGGGCACAGGTCTATCGATATGCGCGATTCTATCAATGCTGTCGCTGCCGTCAACAGCAGTAACAGCAAAGTCAGCTGGGGATTACTTTGTTCATTCGTTACCTGGGGCTCCAGAGGGCCCCTTATTGAAGATGCACGCAGGGTATGTCTCCCAAGGTGTCTGCCTACTTCGTTGCTAATTATTCGCCCTGCAGCTTTGTTGAAGTCGACCCAGAACACAATGGCAATCTATTCTTTTGGCATTACCAAAACCGACACATTGCGAATAGGCAGCGGACGGTGATATGGCTCAATGGTGGCCCAGGGTGCAGTTCTGAAGATGGCGCCTTGATGGAAATTGGCCCGTACAGACTTAAGGACGACTCGACTCTCGAATACAATGACGGATCTTGGGACGAGTTTGCAAATATTATGTTTGTCGATAACCCAGTGGGCACAGGGTTCAGTTATGCAGACACAGACAGTTATGTCCAAAGCCTGCAGGAAATGGCAGATCAGTTTATTATTTTCCTGGAGAAGTGGTTCGTACTGTTCCCAGAGTACGAGCACGACGATGTAAGTTGATAACACTTTGCGACACTATTCAATGGGGCTTTGGGACTAATAACAACAGCTATATATCGCTGGCGAGTCGTACGCCGGTCAGCACATCCCATACATCGCAAAGGCCATCATGGACCGCAACAAGAAGTCTCCGGTTCACACATGGATCCTTACAGGATTGCTCATCGGAAATGGCTGGATCTCTCCCGTCGACCAATATCCGGCGTACTTGTCATACGCATACAAATCAGGCCTCATAACTGGAGGCACTGATGTCGCCAAACAAATCGAAAGCCAGCAGGCCATCTGCATTGAGGCCCTCGACAAGAATGACGGCGCAAACCGCATCGACACGATGCAATGCGAGAAGATACTGCAGGAGATCCTGAGATTGACCCAGGTTAAGGGCGCGAACGGCGAGATGGAATGCGTGAACATGTACGATATTCGCCTGAAAGACACCTACCCAAGCTGTGGCATGAACTGGCCTCCGGACCTCAAGCATGTGGAGCCATACCTTGCTCGCCAAGACGTCCTCCAAGCACTTAATATGGGCGAGATCCAGCAGCCCGCCTGGACCGAATGCAACAGCGTTGTTGGCAGTGCCATCCGCCTCAAGGATTCCAAGCCATCCTACCAGATTCTACCAGAAATCCTCGCTGAGGTTCCCATCGTCCTCTTCTCGGGCGAACAAGACCTGATCTGCAACCACGTTGGTACCGAGGATCTCATCAACAACATGGAATGGAACGGCGGCAAGGGCTTCGAAGTGTCACCCGGCACATGGGCACCCCGCCGCTCCTGGACCTTCGAGGGCGAGACTGCAGGCTTCTACCAGGAGGCGCGCAACCTCACCTACGTCCTCTTCCACAACAGCAGCCACATGGTTCCCTTCGACTACGCACGCCGCACGCGCGACATGCTCGACCGCTTCATGCAAGTCGACATTGCGAACATCGGCGGCAAGCCCACCGACAGCCGCATCGACGGCGAGAAAGGCCCCGAGACGAGCGTAGGCGCGCACCCGAACAGCACGCTCGCACAGGAGACGGAGAAGGAGAAGCTCAACGCGGCGAAGTGGAGCGCGTACTATAAGTCTGGCGAGGTGGCGCTGGTGGTTGTTGTTATTATGGCGGCGGCGTGGGGGTGGTATATTTGGCGCGACAGGAGGAAGCGGGCGGGGTATACGGGGTTGTTTGGCGGGTCGATAGGGGGGAGCTCGGAGAGGTTGAGGGGGGCGATGGGGTTGGAGAATTCGAGGCATAAGAGGGGGGATGTGGAGACGGGGAGTTTTGAGGATGAGGAGCTGGAGGAGCTGCATTTGAGGCCGCCGGGGGAGAGGCATGCTACTGATGAGGAGAGCTTTGAAATGGGGAGTGATAGTGAGGATGATGATGAGAGGGCCAATGGGAATGGCATGGATAAAGGGAAGGGGGTGGAGAAATGACGAGGGCGAGTGTCCTTAGGGATGCCGAGTCGAATGTCCGAGCTACGAGTTTTTTTTTTATCTGTTATATGTCATAACGCGGAATGTACCACTACTTAGCATAGACTTTTCTTCAATGTGATATGATGAGATTCAAGGAAGAACATCGAAGAAAGTGTAGCCAGTGGAAAATACTTGGGGAAGAATGCGCCTCTCGCTACAAGACCAAGAACCCTCACAAGGAGAACTGCAGCCAAATGTAGGCGCTGCTCAGCAGATCGTCCGGCCGTTCGCAGCCCATGCGAGACTTTCGTAAGCGATTCCTGTTCCCACAGGAAACGTGGATATGTTCAATCGGGTCCGCTGGCGGTGGGATTCAGGACGACAGCGAGGGGAGGCGACAACGAGAAGGTAACGACAACGAGAAGCAACGAACACGACAGGAACTAAGGCGGTGAAATATCCCAGGGCAAAATACTTGGCTTGGCTTTGAGCACACTGTCTGCGCGGTTGGCGTGGTTTCCTCAAACGCGACGAATCGGATATTTCTCGGAAGGTGACTGATGGACTCTTTCGCCAGCTTTCCTGCCAGCCTTCCTTTATCTACGCCTGGAAGTCCACCCTCGGCGTCGGTTTGGCAGGTGAACTTCCTGGTGTCGGTGTTGGTAGTTGTATACTATTGCTGCTATATTGATTGGTATTTGGTGATCACGTCCTTCACGACATGCAATATGGGTGTGTGTGAGAAGTGGTAGCTGGGAGAATGCCTGGAGTACGGTTCTATAATATGTCTATCTGGCCGACCCTGTTCATATGTGCTGTGCTTGGACACTCGAGATAGCAGTTCAGTCCTCAACACAGATGACCCTCCGTGCCACTGAAGTCGCATCGGTTACGGTACCACATACACCGAGATTAGGCTTCCCCATGGTCTCCCATTGCCTCTCAACTACTCTCTCGGTTGATTGTGGCATCCGCACCTGATCCTTCTATAACCAATGAGGCCAACCTGGACAATAAAAGCAGGCACGTGCCTTGCAATATCTAGCTTAGAAATGGCGACATTGGATTATATAGCTCAAAAGAGGTCCCCAAAGCCCTTTTCAGAATCTGCCTTGATCAAATCGATCATTCCCTGAACATGGTCAGCTAGGTCCAGTGATCCCGATGAAGGACAAGGCTGTCTCGACTTACCTCAGGCACCGTAATCTCTCCGTTCTTCCCTTTGACGTAGCGGAACGGCATTTCGACGCTCTCAACCCTGCTGACCTTGATTTCAGGGTTGTCTATCCATGGAATATCCTCCAGAGGAGCTGAGCAGCAATCAGAAATAGACCTGATCAGCGTGTTAGCGAGCAGGACTTACTTCTATCTTGGGTAACGATTCTCGTCACCCTGACGGCGGTATCGGTAGTCATCTGCATAGCGCCCAAGCGGCGTCCTTCGAACCCTTTTTTTCTGAGCTCAGATGTCCGGTCTCTTGGCGGGTCGTCACCTGAAATAGTCAGTAACTATCAACTCCCACCGAAATATAAATGCAGCATACCGAGGATACCACCGAACAGGAACACATCAAAAATATCACCATCCTCAGGAGACAGCTCTTTCGTTGCAGAAGGATCCAGCAGACAAACACGGCTCTTCTCAGGGTACAGCTCCTCCACGCTCTGCGGCTTCGCCACAACCCCAGGGAGCGTTTTTAGTCGCTCTGGCAGTTCCAATGATGCTGGAACTGACGTAAGGAGGAAGGACGCGCCGTTCTCGTGGGACTCCTTGGCAATTGTCATATACTCCAACTCTGACCAAGCGCCGAGCTCATCGTCGAGGTGCTCGACGACGTACGTCTTTCCTGTGGATGCCATTGGCGCGCGTGTATACTTGCTCTGGTGTTTGGTTCCGAGGAAGATTCTATGCTACTATGCAATGGTTAGCCCCTGACAACGAATGGTGAAATCTTGTCTGTTCGAATGGGAAACCGGCATATGGAGAGATAAAATGCCTCTTACTCTTGATCCGGCGTGAAGCTAGAAGTAATCCGTCCCGTTCCTGCTCCTATTTTCCCTCAAACTTGATGTAATCCCGCGTCAATGGGCTGTTCAATGAGCTTTTTTAGTATATCGGCAATTCGTCTCCACTCCACACAATGATCCCGCCTGCCTCACCTCACCAGCCTCAGTGGCTGAATTTTCTCACCCCCATCAACCACCATCAACCACCCACTCCCAATCACTCCCAATCACTCCCAATCACTCCCAATCACTCCCAATCACTCCCAATCACTCCCAGTCACTCCCAGTCACTCCCAGTCACTCCCACCCACTCCCAGTCGACAGAGCCCAAACGTCTCGACTTTAACCCTTTAACCCTTTAACCCTTTAACCCTTTATCCTCATGCATAACGACCAAAGTCATACAAACCTCCACCTCGTTCATATCCCCAAAACCCCATTTAATTCCCCGATAAAAGGGTTTCCGGTCACTTGAGCCAAATTCCATTGTGGCCGAGCGATTTGTTTGGACGGTCCATCATCATCGTCAACGACTCCACAACAACCGACAGGGAATCGAAGTGTCTCAACACTCAATCCAACTTACAAAACAACTTGGCCTGCAACAAAACAAGTAAACCGTTATAAATACGTTTATCTGAACCCTTCGATATCCTCTGTTCCGATAAACCTCTACACAACGAACAAACCGCAGCCATGAATCCCCACCAGAAGAACAAGATCGACATCGCCGTAAGTTCACCCCGCCACAACCACCACCACCACCCCACCTCGCAATCCTCCCTCACTCACCTCCCTCACTCACCTCCCTCACTCACCTCCCTCACTCACCTCCCTCACTCACCTCCCTCACTCACCTCCCTCACTCACCTCCCTCACTCACCTCCCTCACGTCAAGTCAGACATCCACTAACACCCCTCCCCCCAGTCCCTCACCCCCGACGAGCAACGCCTCTTCCGCCTCTACGGCAAGCTCCCCTCCAAAGCCGACCACCTCGCCAAAACGCTCAAAGAGCGCAAATACTTCGACAGCGGCGACTACGCGCTCTCCAAAGCCGGCAAAGCCTCCAGCGTCGACACCGGCAGCGTCGGCTCCGAGCACCCCCTTCCCGAGAACATCCCGCACCTCACGTCCCCCGGCATCAGCGGCATTAACGGGGGCTCCCGGAATGGGAGTGTGCAGATGGGTGTTGCGGGGTCACTGGCGAGTGGGAGTCCGGTGAAGGAGAGTAGTTTCTTGAATAGGGAGACGGGTGTTGATGATGCGGAGGGGAAGGAGAATGTGCCGAGGGGTCAGACGAAGAGTGTTTCGCCGCCGGCGGGGGGGGAGGGGATCCCGATTAGGAGATGAGCTGTGAGGTCCGTCGAGATATGTGGTGTGAATGGGCTGCTGAGGGATTTCACATGTAACTTGGTCCTGAAGCCTGGATTGCCAGATCCGAAGCAACAGAATTGGCGAAGGAACAATCCAGAAAAAACACAACGTCGAGACGGGGGAGCAAGGTCGGGGAAAGGTGGGCATTTGTAAACTCGGCGATTTTACGGGTTCCGAAAGCCTTTTTTGCTTGTGGAAATGATGGATTGTTGGGAATGGAAATGATGCGAGGGATGGATGGATTGGGAGGGAGAAACGGAGGCGTAGTCTGGAGTTTTTTACGCAGACCGCGATGACGGCTGCTGCTGCTGTGTCTACTTGATTCATGATGACTTTACTTTGTCTTTCGCCGTTACTGGCTCTTTTCTGACTTGACTCTTTTTCCTTCTTACTATATATCGGTTTCACCCGTCGCCAGGTGCAACAAGCAACAAGTCACGTATGGCAAAACACACGGGCTCCAGAAAGCTTTGTAATGGGTTTTTTTTCTTCTACTACTACCTACCTGAATGGGAGCTTTTGAGATGTTTGTTTGAGGTGTGGGGGGGTTTTCAGGCGTTGTCGCGTGTTCAGCGGGTTGGATTGGGTGGGCGTTAATGTATGTCACAAGACTGAATTCATGCAACGAACGGGGTCGTCTTAGTCGCGAAATAACAAGGTGTTATTAATGTGCTAGTCATGATCGCAGTAAACGCTCTACTGAATGTGAACCTCCAGAGTTAAGGCATAGAGTATTCTGTCACGATTCTCTGTTTTGGTTTTTGTGGTGAGCTAGCAAGTGCCATCCTTTCTTTTGCCAGAGCCCAACGCCGTGCATTGATCCCTTAGTTCAACTATGTACATCATCCCATCCATTTCCCCATCCCCATCCCTATCCCCTCCTCTACTCCAACGCCTTCCTCGCCATCGCAATAGCCCCCTCAAACGTCTTATTCCCCCCAATAAACCCCGCAGCATGCACAAACACCCCCCCCGGCACCCCCGTAATTCCATCCAGCGCCTCATCCCTGAACCCCCTCCAGTTCTCCGGCAACGGCTTACGGCTCTCAAACGAGTCCGTCGTCACGCTAACAGCTTGGATACGCCATTTCGCGCCCGCCACCGGGCTCTCGGGGTACAGCACGTAGACGACCTTCTCATCCCCGCCCTGCTCGGATTCAAGTTTGTAGAGGTGGTCTTTCCATGGCACGGACTGGCCGTCGAAAACTAAGATCCTGCCTTGGGCGTCGTAATCGAGTCGTTTTGCGAAGGCGCCGCGGACGATCTCGCGAGCTGGGAGCCATGACTTGGTAAGGTAGTCGAGGGTGCTGCTAAACTCGGCGCCGATCTTGGTGGATGCCTTGGCGAACTTCTCGTCCTCGATTGCCTGCCACGCGGCTGGCTGGGAGGGGCGGGGGTCGTTCCAGTTGGGGTTCAGACGGCCGACCATGGCACCTAGGGTGAATCCCCCATCGGAGAAGCGCTTCTCGATGCCCGCGGCCTGGAGGGCCTTGGGGCAATAGGCGCTAATGCCGTTGTCGTGTGCGTCGAGGGCTTCAATGAAGTCCTCGTAGATCTTATTCCAGAGGATCATGACTTCATCCGCCGACTCCTCGACGCCAAGGTGCTGCGCGATGATCGCTTTCCCGAAGTGCATGTATACCAGCCCCGCGGAGGAGAGCTTGGTGGGGCGGTTGGGGAAGGTGGTGGTGAAGGTGCGTTGGTGGTGGTCGTAGAGGTTGCGGGTGGCGTCGTATTCGCCGCCGACGTCGACGACGGTGTGGCAGGTTGCGAGGAGGGCGGGGTCGCGCGTGCGGATCAGGCTGGCGGATTGGTAGGCGGGGAGGAGACGCAGCATGTAAACTGCGAGGGCTTCGTCGGCGTGGAAGTGGCCGTTGTGGGTGCCGATGGAGATGTCTGTCTTGAGACGCTTTGCGGCGGTTGTTTCGGCCATTTTAACGGCGTTGCGGAGCATACAAGTTGGGGTGAGAGTTGAAGATGGTGCTTCTGGATTGTTTGTATGTTGTGGGTAATGGTGGAAGTGAGAAGGTGACTTGGAATGGAACGAAGAGAGTATTATTTTTGAGCTTCGATGAGCTTGTAAAGTTAAGTTACCCCGCCAAACACCCACTACGCACAACACAAAACCGTGGGATCATTGATGCCCTATATTTCAGGCCATTATATAACATCTCGGAGTAGTTTTCGAGCTTGGTGCACTTAAAAACTACGGAGCTTGGTGCATAGCTGTCAAATTCTTTAGGGACAGCTACGAAGCCCCTTGCACGATCGTAATATTAGTAGATAAAATAAGAACCTACATGGTGAATTTCGGAGGATTTATTAAAGATATAATATACCCCCTCGAATCGGAAAATTGATGTTATCCCAGTTTATCCCAGGAACAACGAACGAACACGCGACTTGTATTGGACGGGAACCTTCATCTGCCTCCTCCCCCCCCCAAAACCCTCCAAGGCGGTTCACCACCACCATCACAATCAAAGCACAACACACCACTACGGCTTCTTCTTCCCATCTCCATAAAGAAATGGTACCTTATTAGCCGCCAACGACGCGACCGACACCGACCGCATCTTTCTCCTTCATCTATCCATCCCCACACGCCGTTTTGTTGTTCGCGCACACAAAAAAGAGCCAAGCCCACGCGCCTGAAACCTTTGATCCCCTTCACCGACAACACCGATTTCAACATCCCCTGCCCCAGATAAAGCTTGATAAGAGGGGGGAGCTACTCCAAGACGAGAAAAAACTATTTCTACACCACACCACCAGGCCTAACGCCTCCCACTCACCCACCGCCAACACACCGACACCACGCCCTCCGCGTCGTTCCCGAAAAATCTCATTTCCACGGAGCTACACAGCGACTGACAGCACGGCGGCTTCACCCTCGACACACCCACACCCAACCTATCCAGCTGGGCGCCCTTCAACGCACGCTCGGCGCCACAGCGCGCTATGTGGTTAATCTTCCGGCTCATCGCGTCGCTCGTCTTCCTCCTCTCGATCATCCTCTCCATCCCCATCGCCTTTGATGTCGGCGGGCGGGACAGCGGGCTAGCGCACTCGCTGGCGCTGTTCTGCTTCTACTTTGCGTACTCGACGCTGCGGATCGTGACGCCAAAGAAGTCGTGGTTTAGGTATGCGCTGGTGCAGGTCGTGGGGGTGTCGCAGTGGGTGATTATCCCGGCGCTGTTGATTTGGAGTTTGAATCGCTTTACGGTCGATTCGAATACGGGGGGGGATTGGTTGGCGAAGACGTTTGGGGGGAAGAGGTCGAAGGAGACGAGTGTTACGGAGTGGATCTTTAGGCCGGGGGGGTTCTATGATGTGCTGACGGTTGGGACTTGGGATAAGGTGTTGACGTATTCGACGCCGTTCTTTCAGCTTGCGGAAGGGTTTTGCAGTCTGTTGGTGATTCAGGCCGCGGGCCAGATTACAAGGTGGCTTGTTAATAGAGGACGCAGTGATACGTGGATGGTAAGTCCCTCACGCTATCAGTTCTCGACTGAACAACCCTGACATACCACAGATTGGTCTCCTCATAGTTTCCGCTTCGATCATCTCGAGCTCAGTCTACTTCCTCTGGCGCATCACGAACTTCCCCGAGATCGGAAACGTCGACGCCACACTCATCGGCGTCACGATCACAACCGCCGTCTTCCTCTGCGCATGGGGCATCGGCAGCGGGCGCGGTAACCCAGTCGAGAGCTCCTTGCTCTTCGCATACGTCGTCCTGTGCATATACCAGATCTTCACCGACTACCTCCCCTCCCCCGAAGCCGCCGCCGCCGCCGCCGCAACTGCCGCTGAATCGCAGCCCGAGTTCCCCCCTTTCCCACCCATCATCATGGCCTCCTACTCAACCCTGATCCACCTCCTCTCCACCCTCCCCTCCGCCGTGCACTCAAGCTTCACCTTCCTCCACGCCGCCTTCCAAACCATCACCCCTTCCGTCATCATCTCCCTCGCCTACCGCATCTTCGTCTTCTACGCCGCGACCCGCATCATCCCCTCGGTGCGCGACTCCGGCGCGCGCGGCCTCTCGCGTGAGCCCACTCTCGAAGACGACGATGGCGCGGGCTGGTTCCTGTGGGTGCTCAGCTGGTTCAGCCCGTCGATCTTGGTGGCGGTGTACACGAGCCTGCTGATGCAGCACTTCTCGACGCTGTCGGAGAATGGGCAGGCGGCGGCGTGGTGGACGTTGCAGCAGGGGGGGAATGCGGCGGGAAATAATGTGTGGAGGTGGGTTAATGTCGCGGCGACGATGGCGTTGTATGCGTTTGAGCTGTATTTGGGGAAGGAGGATACGGATGGGAGTTTGACGGGGCATTGGAAGACGGATTGAGTGGGTTGGTGGTGGGATGCTGTGCTTGGTCAGTTTGTAGCTGGGTGGTGGTTAGTTTAGGTGTCGGTCCCGCAGTTGTTTTTGAGGAACTGCTCGCAGGAGAACCGACGGGATAGTAGTTGGAGACGAAGGGAAAGGGATGGCAGCGTTCATGCCCGAAGCAAAATGGATCTGGAAACGGACAGCAGGCGGCCCATCCCAGGAACCTCCATTGGAGAGAAAGCACACAAGGAGGAGCGAGCGAGGGAGGGAATGCGGCGGTATGGGGCCGTCGTCGAAAGCGTGTTGTGAGCCACGGCCATCTCGATAAGAGAGAGAGAGGAAGAGGAAGAAAAAGATAGATACCCTCGGGATGGCCTTTTTTTAGGTATATATATTTGCAGGTGGATTTGATTATACAAGTACGGCCAATACAGATTTACTCTCTAGGAGGGAGTAGAAACATAGTTGGGTTTCTGAACAAACACATGACTTAAGACCACGTAACATAACTGTAAATAACTCAACAATGGTTGCCCGTAAAAACCTAGGGATTGCTGAGCGTGAAACTTTAATAGCCCAGGCAGTATTAGACGTCAAATCTGGGAAGTACAAGAGCGCATATCACGCTGAGAAAGTGCTGGGGTTGCCTAAGAGTTCTGTAACGCGTCGGGTTAACGGAGGTTTGACAACGTTCCCTAACTCGCTAGCACAGCAGAATTTATCAGGCGCGCAAGAGAAGATACTTCTAAAGTGGATTAAAACCCTAACAATCAGGGGTTATTCTTCGGGCATCGGTTGTTGAAGGAAATCTGAAGAACTCCTGTCGCATCGGCCACTCAATTTCGACGACGCGACGCGACACCAAACTCACTCCTACCCCAACCACGATATCGGGCGACGAATCGAGACTGTACGCATAGACTGTACGCATGGAGGGCCGACAAAACCAGTGCTTGTAGCATGGTTTGATGCATACTCGTACAAGCGTCTAACGGCATCGCTCTCCCTACTCAACTAAGCGCAACTTGCACGACAAAAGTATGAATGGATGGAGGCCTACATCCAGGCACGGCGAGCTCTACATACGTTGCTCTATGATGAGCCATTAGTCGAGGTTGACTGACTAAAAACACCAAATCAGTTTGATATTTTCAATCAAGTCTTTATTAATAGTTCATCCCTAGATGCACAACCTTACGTACTGCGAATGCGCTCCTTACAACTACAATTAATGGTAGTGGGGGGCCGTCAACACCGGTGTGGGCATACATCCAAAAACTCACAGTTGCGTCAGAGCAACTTCAAACAAGTATTGTCTACCAACTTGATGCTAGCAACTTGAGATTAGTCATGAAGCGATGTGCAGTACGTACGAAAGGGAAAAGGGTTATTCTAAAGGGTCACTTTCATGTTTCTACGCAAGAATTATGTGATGTGGTAGTAGAGGTGGAAAAAGCCACACAAAACCTAAGCAAGAAAAAGCGCAAAACAAAGGACAAGCGCGTGTCCTCGGATGATGAAATTGACGAGTATATTAAAGAAGAAGCAGGGGAACAATCTGAGAGCGACAGCGGGTCATGGGACGCTCTAGGCGTTAGATTGTAGTTAAATTAATTTACAGTTATGTTACGTGGACTTCAAAAATCCCCCGGGTTACGCAGGGCCCTGCGTAACACGGTGACTTACGTTATATAGCGTCCTATGGTATGCTACGTAGCGTACTTTCGCTCGCTACTTTCCCAATCTAACGCCTAGAGCGTCCCATAAGCACTGCACTCTTACTACTCGTATAAGCCTACCGTAGCGACTCCACGCAAGCTCCGACGCCCTGTTTACCTGCGTCCCAATCCCCGTCGGTTTCTCAACAGGGGGAGGCCGGGTCTCGCCCAAGGCTGGAGACGAGACGAGGTGGTCGTGCGCAAGGTGGTTTTTGTTGAGATGAGTGAGATGGCGGTCTGGGTACGGCGTGGCGGCGGGATGGAGGCGGCGGGATGGAGGCGGTCTAGAATGGAGGCGGTCTAGAATGGAGGCGTAGGAGTAAGTTACAGTACAGACAGCACTACTACTTCTTTTCTCTTTTCTAACTTACCTTTCTCTCCTCATAAGTCCAAGTCCCTTCTACGACACTCACCTGCCCCCTTGTGACGGACAACCGGGTACCAAGTACCTCCCTCAACTTACCACATCGCGCCCAGATCTTCGGTGGTGACCGAGGTAAGTCACCCCCTCACCATTAGGAATGCATATTGATCCCTAAACCTGCTATGTTACAAGTGGAAGTGCATCTCCCACCTCTCCTTCTACTTCTTCTTCTTCCTTTCCGTTTCTAGATCCATCATCGAATTCATCGTACAGACTACAAAGTATCACAAGTCGTCGTTGCCGTTATCACCAGAACAGTATCACTCAACCTCTCACACCTACAAATCATGTCGTCACGTATCAGCCCCCGAGCCATCCGCTCCCTCACCAGCACCACCGCCTCCCCCGCCGTGCGCAGACAATTGGCAGCTTCAACCTCAAAAGCAGAGGTATATATCCCCCATCCCCAATCCCCAATCCCCCTCCTCCCTCTCGACCCCAAGCTAACCCCCCCTCCCAGCCAACCACCCGCTCCTCCAGCACCACCACACGCCCAACACCCTCCATCACCCCAACTCTGAGGCCGTTGATGCAAGGATTCCACACGGCCACCTCCTCCCCGGCACCTGTTGCAATGTCGTCGATTGATTTCGTCTTCTTCCCCACCCACGACGCCATCACCACTCCCCACCAATCCGCCCTCCGCGTCCCCCTCCTCCCCGACAACTACACCCCCGACCGCTCGATCGGGTCTGCACACGCGCCGGAGGCAGAGGTGATGCCGTTGCAGAGGAGTGAGATTAGCATTATTGCGGCAAGGCCGGAGACGGTGGCGAGTGCGTTGACGGAGGTGGTGGGGTTGGGGAGGGAGATGGGGTTGGGGGAACTGACGAGGGCGTTTGCGGAGGGGGTGGAGAGGGTGGAGGGGGAGGTGATGGGGGGGTTGAGGGGGTTGTGGGGGGATTTGTTGGATGATGTTTTGGGCGAGAAAGCTGTAAAGGTTGCGAGGGCTTAGTTGGGGGGGAGGGAGGGGGAGGGGATTATTCTTTTTACTCGATGATTGACGGTGTGATAAGTGGTATTGGTTTTTTTAATGATATGAATATATGACAGGATTGGATGTGCATAGTAAGACTTTGAGCGAGTCGCGGGCATACGAACCAGGAACGAGTTTATTCATGCTCGGATATTGAGGAGACTATCAGGAGAGACAAGGGTCATGAAAGTCCAGTGCATACGAGTACCGTCATGCGAATTTCTCAGAGTGTACTCGTAACAGCAAAGCGGTCGCGGTGGGATATCTCGTGGAGGCAACCGAGGTGTGGTAACGAGAATATATCGACAACAGGTAAGGGAGGTCACAAAAACAGGCACGTAAGAACGGTAGTAGCAGTGGCTTTGTGTGAACGCATGATGAGAATGGCGGCCTATTTATATTAGGAATGGTCACACGTTTGAACGATGCACGGAGATATTATCACTTTGGCGATGACGAAAGTAGTCAACGCAAATGCCATCATCCCAGCGTGTTCAATTTATGCCATTCCTATGGCTACAACTGGTCCGGTCCATATTAAACTCAAAGAGACAACACAAGAACGCAGGATAACATAACACAACCCCAATCTCACCCTCCCCCTTAAGCCTTCATAGCCTCAACAAACAACTCCCTCATCCCCTTCAACAACCCCCCCAACTCCCTATTCTCATTCAACCTCTCCACAATCCCCTCCACCCTCTCCCTCTCCACCTTCGGAAAGCACTTCCCAACCTCATAATCCCTCCTCTCCGTGCACAGCTCAAACCACGCCTCCCTCTCCCAATCCCTCTCATCCACACACGTAAACACAAACTTAAGCCTATCACTCATTCCCGCCCCTTCAATCCTCAACCCTAGGTTACTCGTCCAGAAATTCAGCTCGGGGATATCATGAACAGCCATCCCAGAGATCCGCTCAGCATACTCCTTCTGCCTAACCCTCCTCTCCCGAATCATACTCTCCACCCTCTCAATCTCCCCCACCAGCCCCTCCCGCTCCCTAACCTTCGCCTCCCTCTGCCTCTCCAACCTCCCCACCGCCCCCTCCATCTCCTTCGCCTCCGCCTCCTCCCTCTGCAGCGCCTGCGCGTGGCCCTGAGCTTTGAGTTGGAGGATCTCAATGTCCTTCTTGCGCATGCGGCGGTCCTCGTGGGCTTCGGCGACGGTGGAGCGGAATTGGTTGCGCTCTTCTAAAACGCGTTTGCGACCGGTCTCGATGAAGGCGTCGAAGCGTTGGGTAAATTGAGACATGCGTGTGCGTAGCTCGTCGAAGCCGAAGTCGATGGGGGGGAGGGAGTCGGCCATGGAGGGGGCGAGGGCGGTGGTGACGGGGGGGCGGAGGGAGAGGGTGGGTTCGAAGGTTGTGTTCATGGTTGCGGGTTGTTGGTTTGTTGAGCGATGAGTTTTTGGAAGCTTGGATGTTTTTGAGAGTCTGCTTGAGTTGCTTTTCGCAGCAGGTAGGTTTTTTGTGGTGAGGGTTGTTGAGATATTGCGATGGATGCGCGCGAAATGTGACAGTTGGGGTGTTGACGTTTTCCAGAGTCTTAGTTGGCGAAGCAACGCAACGACCCAGCTCCCATAAAGTGGGCTACCCTAGTGCGAATATCTTTATCGCTGACGAAAGATAAACCAAAGCTTGAGAAAAATAATTTCTGGGGCCATTTTGAAGGACATTTACTTGTTCGGCATATCCCCGTGGTCCCTACCGAATTGGCAATACCTCGTCGAAGTATTCAATACCGAAATGTTGGCGCGATTTATTACGGCCTTAGGAAGACGGATTCATCGCTGCCCAGATGACTGACCGGCGGGCGAATGACCATGCGTTTGGTCACCTTGGAGAAGCTACTTATGATACTGTTGAGAAGAAATGGACTTTCTCACGGATTCCTGTTTTACGTACGTTTTCTAGGATATTTCGCATGTCTATCTGGAGTTGCTAACGGTTCTCTAGCAAGCATAATCCGACCAATCCAACCACTACAACCATGTATTCCGCCATCAGCACAATCGAAGCCCGAGGCACAAAGGAATGCTACAGACAGGGCATCCAACAGAGCCCGCGACCAGAAGAGGTCGCTCATACGAGAGATCCCCCAAATCGGAGCTGCGGCTTCCGTATTGGGACCTCTCGTACGAACTGCAGCAATCAAGACCTCCAAGACGCGCCCAACAGACGGTGACCTGGTCGCCAGCGGGACCGCCAAAGTGCTGTCGAAACACCATGGCGACCGTTCGATTAATGTGCTAGCGGTTGCACATGGCGAAGCCGGGCATGTCCTGCGATTGATTAAACCCCGGCTTGAGGACCACACCTGGCAAGGCGACGATTCCGTGAAGCTGCGGATGCTGAACCCCAGCACATCAGAGGATGGATACTGGCTCGATGGCGCCGGATCGATTGAACAGATCGTATTCTCGTCAGGTGTAGAAGGCGACAGGTCTTGGTTGGCTGTTCGCAAACTGGCATCCACGACTATACTACAACCAGTATATCAGAGAACACCGGGTCCAGCACGAGTGCGCCCGGGGTTTCAAGACAGATATAGGCCCTCCCTCTTGGATCCGAATCCAGCGGTCACTATCACCAGCGCGATGACGAATGGTAGGAATCATGCTGATGTGGCGTTCAATCCTTGGTATCCGCGCCAGTTTGCAGTTCTGGATGAGGAAGGGTACTGGAGTGCCTGGGATATTGAAGGTCGGAAACGCGCTGGTTCGAAGATGGCTACTCCTGGAAAGTCGGGATATATACTCGACGACCGGGCGGAAAGTGATCTTTCGTTGGATATTGCTTCAAATGGATGGGGCAGGATACTCTGGGCTGGAAATGTCAGTACGATAGTGGTGTGCAACGACCGTTACTTGGCGGTATTTGATCTCAAAGCTTATCCCATACGATTACGAAGTCCGGACTTGGTACCCAGCGGATCGTTTGGTCGTATTCTGGAGATCAAGCGCAGCCCGCTTCAGCATGACAAAGTTTTTGTCCTCACGAATACGCGATTATTCCTCCTCCAGATAAACACAGCGGGAGAGTGGCTCGATGACACTGATAGGACAGCTGGGGCACGGATTATCATGTCTTGCTTGCATTATCAGGAGGCGCAGGGCAACTTGCTGAAACTGGAGTTGCATGAGGAAGGCGATGTTTGTACGGCTTTTTTGGTTTCTTCGGGAATGTTCTTGATTAATGTGTATAAATTCACGGCAACACCTGATGCGGCAACGCCGGTGACCTGGTCGACAGATGCGTTCTCGTTAGAACATGGGGCAGATGAAGATACGCTGTCAAAACTTGTTGGGTTCTGTGTTCTTCCCGCTGCTCTTGAACGCAGTGGTGGGCCGGCGACGTCTAACATAAGGAGAAGTTATGTGGATCATGGGAATTTCCTACAGGCCTTCGCTCTTGGGGAGAATTTAGAGATATCACAAACTCTCCTGGCTGAGTGCCGCATGGTGGCTGTGCCGTCTCCTGGAAAGCCGGCAAGATACGAGCAGCTATCGTCACCTTCGGAGAGTCAAGCTGTCCCACCTAAGGCCCATTTCCTGTCGTCTCGGACGATTGATGACTTTATCGTTCCTGATGGGTTTGAAGACTACGACTCTGGAAGTGAACGAAAGGCACCAGTCGTGAGGCCCTCGATAGAAGACGATATACCCGAAGAGCCCGCACCGAAAGTGATCGGCGCCCAGCGCTGGTATGAGCTCGCGACTAAAGACAAAGCTGCCAAACCGCCTAGCCGGGAAGACTATCCTGACGTAGAAATTGAGATGGCAGATTACATACAGAATATTGTCGGAGGAATTCAGCACAGGAGACAAGCTGGGCTGGAGGGTCTCTCTAGCTTTCACGATCTAGCGGGCTTCGAGAAATTTACAGAGGATGTCGATGACGGAGCTGCATTACTTCAGGAGTTCATCAATAATTTCGAGGACAATTATGCGGAAAGTAGCATGGCAGTCACCTTACAATCCTCAGGTCTACTCAGAATGCTAGACCTAGAACCAGATGAGTCCTCTGGCGACAACTTACCGAACCTCTCAAACGTCTACGACAGGCTCGTCAACCTCTGGGTTACATCTCTCCCTCAAAACACTCCCGGCATGGCGCGAATCGCCAAAGAGAAGGTTGCGCGAAACGTGGCAGCGGACTTATGTCTCAGCTCCATCCTCGTTTCCATCCGCGACAAATCCGTTCCTCTACCTACCACCGCACCATCCCAGGACCTTGAAGAAGGACCAAGCCTCACCCTACCCATCCATGGCGGCCGGCCACCTCCCCCCCCACGAACACCCTCCCGTTCGCGCTTCAGCAGCCAGCCCTTACAAGACCATGGCTTCGAGCCCTCCTCCAGCCACGCCACCCCAGCGCCCTCGGAATCTGCTCTCTCTGGCGGGCCCGCCGAAGACCCCGCCGTAGCACGCCTCCGCGGGTACGCTCTCTCCATCAAGTCACTAAAACCACTCGGGCCAACATGCGCATCGATCCTCACGCAGTGGCCCGAAACACCAGGTTCAGACCCATCAACATACGTGTGGCGCCCAGACCAAATCTCCGGCGCCGCGGAGGAAGAAGGGGACAGCGACGAAGAAGCCGCGCGGCAGAGGGAAGAGAAGCGACGTAGACGGACGGAGAAGTTTCTCAAGCGGCAGAAGGGGGTAGCGAGTCCGCGACTGGGAACAGTGCAGAGTAGCCAGCCGCCGCCAGTGGTGGAGAGCCAGCCGGCGTATAGGTTTGCGGCGTCGTTGCAGGTGGTGGTTCAGAGCTCGAGTCAGGCTGATGGGGGGTTGTCGATGACGCAGCCGAGTGCGGGGGCGTTTGGGAGTAGGGCAGGGGTGGGGAAGAAGAAGAAGAGGAAGACGGGGTTTTAATGGGGGTGGTGGAGGTGGTAGCGGGGTTGCGTTTTGGATATGTAATGATAGGTTTTGGAAATTTATTATTAATATCTTGAGCGAAGCGTACAACGGTGACTCCGGTTTATAAATATGGCCCGAGAACTTTCTGCGTCGAGAAACAGCCGGTCCTCCTCTGTCATCATCTGAGTATTCACACCCGCCTTCCCCCTCCACGGCACCCCACGCCCACCAAACGCAGCACTAGTACTCTGGAACGAATACCTGTCCCGACTCCTCATCACTAATCGAAAACAACCCAATAAGCGGCTCCAGAAAAAGCCAGACCAGCCAGCTCTTAATAGTCAAACTCGCATCTAAGCCCCTATTCATATTCCCCGTATTCACCCACTCCGGACACGAGTGTATGAACGTCACACCAGGGTTTTCAGCTTGTCGAGTTCATACTAACATATTGCACATGGGTCTTCACGACGCCGAAATCCCCGGATTTCTTGAGATCCATATCATCCAGGTCGACGGTCGTGCGCTCTAGCCCGCCACCCTGGACGCTGACGATTTTAGGGGCTTCTGCGGCGCTGAGGAGGGGGAGGAGGTGCTGAATGAAGAGGATCCGGGAGTAGTATACCAGGCTTTGCGTGATTTCTATGCCCTCTGCCGTCTCGTTGCGTGCTCCGAACGGCGCATAGCCAGTGGTGAGGAAGAGGAGGTCGATGCGCGATTCCCTACTTTTGATGACCTCGCATACCCTCTTCGTCTCGGCGAGGAGCGAGATCTCGCCTTCTGTCCAGATGATCTCGGCTTTGGGATTGATAGCGTGTAGTTCCTGGATGAAAATCCGCGAGCGCTCTTCAGAGCTTTTGCGTGCAATGAGGTAGATTCTCACGCTGGCGCCGGTGGCTACTAAGGCCGGCGAAGACGGCGATGCGGGGTGTTGTGGCGTCGTTGAGGAGGGCGTTGGAGGCACGGATTTCTTTGTAGGATACCATTTTAGGCAATGGATATTATTATAATCATTAAATTTACATGGTGGACTTGGAATCATGCTGTACTTAATAGTATGTAGTCGGAGCTCTTTTTACGTCCGAAGGACCCCGCTAAGTACCATGGCTCACACGCTGATGCCGCCCTGCCTGGAACAACGGGATACTCGTACAAAAGGCGAGGGGGTTGGTTGTATTGCGTGGTGAATTTGTGTTTAACACAGATAATGTGTTGTTACCCCATATAGTAAGTTACGTTATAACTATCATGTTCCACTAAGTTATAGATCCTTATTATAAACATAAACCGGCATCGAGTCCTCCTACATGCTGTCCGTAACCATCGTCTTATTCGACCCATCAGCATTCATAACCACGATCTGTCCATACGGCTGGAAGGTATTATCGTAGTTGACGCACTCCTCGCGGAATCCGTACATGCCACTGGTATACATGATACGCCCGTCCGCGGACCAGGCGGCATGTGCGTCGTTCGCACCACTCGTGGTGAGTTGCGTGAGGAGTGCCGTCAGGGGCGATGGTGTAGATGTCAAAGCTGTCAATAGCCTCAAGATCCTCCCAGTTAATGTGATTGCGGCGGGTAAAGACGCGTTCTCCGTCTGGAGACCAGCCTGGGTTGCTATCCCAGTCGTCTGTAAGATTCGCGGTGGTCTTGTCCGCGAGATTCAATATGCGTAGTCCTAGACCTCCCTCAGACCCGAAATCGCGGTATACGAGCTGGGTTCCATCAGGCGAGAAGCTGGGGAAGCCCGAGTTCACCTCGTCGGCGATGCCGAAGGTGAGTTGCTCTGAATAGGAGCCGTTCGCAGCGGCTCTGTAGATCCATCCACCAGAGAAAGCACGCTGGAAAAACCAACTGCCCGCACTAACGGCAATCCATTCGCCACCTGGTGACCATGTAGGCTGGAAGGCACCAGCTAAACCCTTAGCAGTATCGGAAGGATCAATGTTGTCTATCGAGAAGACAAGCTTTAAGTCTGTTCCATCAGGATTCATAGTCACAACAGACGGGTTGCCAAGCTGCTTTTGGGTGATAGTGTTGAAGGAGGAGGTTGCTCAGACTGATTGGTTGGGCGTGTGGCTCGCCAACCGAATCGGGTTGCGGACCACCCACAAATAGTCCTGTAGATAGCTTCACTCAAAACAACAATACAACACATATTCCAGTGAACTGTTGTTCAACTCAACTTGATGACTTATACTACCGCTGCAAGTGATATCATACACTTCAGCAGATAGCTAAGATGCCCTGGTTTGATAGGGTTGGGAATACATCAGTGAAGCGGTATTCCCAATCGCCATCCCAGCCGTATAGTGGCTTTCCATGAGGCGATTGGGCGCTTCGAGCTGTTTCTCGTAGACTACTGTTGAACCGTCTGGCGACCAGGAATGATTGCGCATTGCACCCAACACGGCAGTGGTTTTCATTGGTAGAGGTATAGTTGAGACCTTCATTTGTGCCATTTTTGGCGTCGAAGCCAACGACATCCGCTGTAACCCATTGTGCGGAAACCTTGCATCCAGAGCCCGAGGTGTGGTAGGTATAATCATTCCAGTGGCAACGTCAAAAGATGCAATCTGCGAGGTAGTATCGCCTACAGACTGGGTGTGAGCATTGTAGGTATCTTCTCTCGTTATTTCATAAAAGAGGATGAGCGAGCCATCTGGAGACCATTTTGGCGAACTGAGAGAGTAGTTTTCCTTGGTAACAAGCTGCTTGAAGTCTGTCCCGTCGGGCCTTATAAGATGGATGGAAAGGGTTTGTGTATGCTCCCGGCCGGTTCCGTTGCTATGTCCCGTCCAGCCTGTATTGCGGTCAGAGGAAAAGGCGATCCATTCTCCGTCGGGTGACCAGCTAGGGCGGAAATGGCCAGTTGTCTAGTGGTATCTGCGGCAGTAGAGGCTGTATTCGTCAAGTTGAAGGCTTCCCCAGTCTCGATATTCTTCAGCCATATATTTGTCGTATAATTGCCCACTGTGGACACATAGGCCAGCAGGCGCCCGTCTGGGGAAAGCACGCCGGCATCCTCAAAGGAAGGCGTTGCAACCAGTTCCTCTAGCCCAGAGCCATCCTTTCGAACGCGATATAATCCCACTGCCCGTCTCCGGCACGCTCACTAGTGAAGGTGATCCATTCGCCATCTGGAGAAAAAGATGCATGGTACTCAAACGCAGCGTCACTATCGGATAGCAGCTGGCGTTCGTTGCTGCCGTTTGCGTCAGCTATATACAAGACCGAACTTGAAGAAGCGATCCTGTTCATGAACATGACGCCCAATTTGCCCTTAGTAGCCGGAGGGCTAGGAGAGGAGGCTCCCGATACTACGTCGGAGACGTCTCTCATAGGGGCAACCTCTTTTCTTGCTTGAGGCTGAGACATAGGGGCAGGCAGCTAGGGCTTGTCCCACGGCAAGGCCAAGAAGTGACACTGTGGAGAGACGCATTTTCTTTCTCCGAGTGATGCGGCAGGAACGTGAGACGAGGTCTACTTACTTGCAATAGAGGTCCAATGGATCTCATATATACTCTGTATGCGATTAAACAGCAAACCTCCACCAGACGCGTGGATGTTGGACCCTACACTAATTTGATGTTGTCCCCGTAATTCGGTATTTTGCCTAACTGGTAGGCATCTGCGATCTAGGTACGAGCTCGCCGATGCTGATATCCATAACCACAAGGTTCTCAGCCGGGCGTACCGCAAGCTCTTCTTCATTTACTAACGCTACATATAGCCATGCACTTTGCTGAGATATATATAGATATGGCTCCTCCATGTGGTACTATTTAGGGTTCAATTCGCAGGTGGAAGTAGAAACTGCCGGAGAGAATATTACGATCGAATCCGTGGCAGCTAGGTGAGCAACAGTGGCCGTAGTTTGGGCGGTTGACGGAGTCACCGTTTTTAGAGGGTAAGGCTTCAAAACACCCAGAATACAAATTATGGCTACTACTGCTGGGGCAAGCCTCGGCGCAGATATCTATCATTATTTCATTTTTTCGTGGAGCAACTTGCAGAGTAATAGCAGGGGCAATGGTTTGTAAACGACGGACCCCATCTGAGATCGTTATAATTGTGAGACTATTCCCAAGGCACGTCCTTTCTAGCCACTACTATACGCATCCCTATCTTGCCTGTAAAGCCTATCTACCAGCTACGACATTCAAGTACTCTTATCACCAAACACGGTCTCTGATCCACCCCTTTAACACCTCACTGGCTTTTCAGAAACAAGGAGTAACAAGATGAATGCTTGGAAGCTTGGAAGAAGACGTGGAAGTATGTGATAGTCGATTTACTGTATTGTCTGCTTGCCCTTTCTTAAGGAAAGGGCAATCCTATTTATGCTAAAGGAATGTAGTTCTCTTATTTTCCAAGACTTTCCATGACTTACCAGGCTTGGTAACTGTAGTAGACGTAAGAGAATCCCATAGAACCATCTCTTAGGTTCGTAGCCTATAGGAAGTAAAAGGAGGTCCAAGGTCAGAGTACCCCTATAGACAAATTATGTCATAGACAAATTATGTCATAGACAAATTATGTCATAGACAAATTATGTCATAGACAAATTATGTCATAACTTAACCAATCTTGTTGGTAACTAAAGAGCGATGACATGTAATGAATCATAGAGGTTCGTAGGAGCTTTTAGAGCTATCGTTCATGCTCCTAGGCCTCTAGTTGGTAGAGATATGTCATGTGGTAGTATGAGTGATGTCATGTAATGAATCATAGAGGGTTGTAGAGATATGCTATGTAGTAATATCGGCCCAGTAACTAAGGAGCGATGACGTGTAATGAATCATAGATGGTTGTAGCAATCGTTGAGTAGTATTGCTCTTGTTGTTGGTGTGATAAGCCAGAATATGTATAGTGACTTGTAGGTTTGAGGAGGAGATTTCCAAGTTTGCTCTTGAGTTTGATAGCAAACTGAGTGCAACGAATGTCAGTATGACACCGTTGGGTCAATCCCCTTAAGTACCCGAAACGGGTCCGACTCGGCTAACCTGCCCTAACTCTCCCCACGTGACTGTAACCTGTCCGACTCAGATCCCTTCCATCACTGAGGGCGGAGGCATCTGTAACACTGACTTCTAAACAATAGAAGACACAGAGGTTTCTTGCATAAGGTTGACTTGACAGAGGAGGCAGGGGATTAGACACAAAGGCTTTCCAAGTAACACGTTACAGTATTGTAATTAATACTATATTGAGTTGAGCACGAAGCTCCTATCTAAGGAAATACTATCTACTTATATAGTGGCGTCGTGCCAAAGGGATATCCGTGGGTAACATGGATAACATAATATCCATAATATCTAATGTTATCCATCACCTGATATTCCATGGATTGTCATACTGACATTCGTTGCACTCAGTTTGCTATCAAACTCAAGAGCAAACTTAGAAATCTCCTCCTCAAACCTACAAGTCACCATACATATCTTGGCTTATCACACCAACAACAGAAGCAATACTACTCAACGATTGCTGCAAACTCTTCTACTACATCTGTTTATGCTACATACATCACGGCATATCATTTGAACACTCATTGAACAAGTTATTAAGAAAATCTCCTCCTTAAGGGGGTGGGCCAATACTACCACATGGCATATATCTACCAACTAGAGGCCTAGGAACATGAACGATAGCTCTAGAAGCTTCTACAACCCTCTATGATTCATTACACATCATCGCTCCTTAGTTACCCACAAGATTGGTTAAGTTATGACATAATTTATCTATAGGTACTCTGACCTTGGACCTCCTTTTCACTTCCTATAGGCTAGGAACCCAAGAGATGGTTCTATGGGATTCTCTTACGTTCACTACATGATTAGCAAGCTAGTTGTGGGTCGCACTTGATTTCTAATACATTTACCAAGCCTGGTTAGTCATGGAAAGTCATGGAAAATGAGAGAACTACACTCCTTTGGCATAAATAGGATTGCCCTTTCCTTAAGAAAGGGCAAGCAGGCAATACAGTAAATCGACTAGCACATACTTCTACGTCTTTTCCAAGCTTCCAAGCATTGATCTTGTTATTCTCTGTTTTTGAAAAGTCAGTGAGGTGCTAACCTCTGACTTACCCCTGAGTTCTCAGACTCAACATTTGTTGCAACTTGTCTAAACCACTTCACCACATCATACACCTGATTGCTGCGTTGTGGAATAGTCTAAGCTACAACCCTTTGGCTCTGTTTCCTAAGACAGTGTGTTGTCTTAGTAAATTCATCCCTTCCTTGGGTGGCTAGATTCTCATATCTGGTGCACCCACCATTACACCTTGCCTGCTTCAAGCTTCAACTATTTCTATAGCAGCACTTCGATACTACAATGGAGGACGACCAAGCTCCTACAACTACTGCTGAACAGCAGATGCAACAACTGTTTGCCTTTATACAAACTATAGCAAACAAACTTGAGAATTTGGAAAACACCTTTCAAGCCAACACTTCAGCAACACAATCTTCAACTCAGACACATCATACAGAGCTTCCCACAGCTCCTCTGGCTATTTCGAGTACCCCAGGTGCACTTCCTAAAGTGCAAACACCAGATTTATACCATGGAGACAGGAGGAAGTTGAAGGGATTTCTTATGCAACTGGACATCTACTTCACCCTCAGGCCTCATCAGTTCACCTCAGACATTCAGAAGATCTATTTCGCTGCCAGCTACCTCCGTGGATCTGCATTCAACTTCTTTGAGCCATATCTTAGAAGACTTAGTGGCAACAACCAAAATACCACTACACCTTTGATTACCTCTTATGACCAGTTTCAAGAGGAACTTACCAGGACCTTTGGAGACATCAACGAAACTGCTACAGCAGAAAGAGAGCTACAGAAGCTATGTCAAAAGACCTCTGCTGCTCAGTATACAACAGAATTTAGGAGAATCACTTCTCACTTGACTTGGAATGAAGAAGCCTTAGTCTTCACTTACTACCAAGGGCTCAAGAGCTCTATTAAGGATGAACTCAGCAAAGAAGAACGCCCTACAACACTTCAAACGCTTATAGAGAAAGCTGTCAGACTTGATGATAGGCTTTTTGAAAGAAGAAAGGAGAAGAACCAAGACTGGCATCCAACAAGAAATTTCAACAATTACACCTCTACACCAACTGCTAAGTACTCAGCACCTGAACCTATGGACTTAGACGCCTCTATAAAGAGATCTACAGCAAATCCAGCACCTCAGCCTACAGGATACCCTCAAAAACTGAAAAGGGGTAAACTTACCCCTCAAGAAAGAAAACACAGAATGGACAACAACCTTTGTTTATACTGTGGCAAAGGGGGACACAGAATTCAGGAGTGCTATTCAGCACGAGGGAGTGCTGATTCAAAACATATAGCAGCCTCAGACACAGTCACAACTGCTATTCCTGAAAAACTTGAAAAATCCCTAGCAGGCACAACTTCAACTGAGACTATAACTTCTCCCCTAGACAACAAAGATGTGTCGATGGTGCTTTCTCAGAGTCTCACACACCTGTTAATCCCTATTCAACTCCATTTCAAACAACAGGTGTTGTCTACAAGGGCTATGATAGACTCAGGGGCAACAGGCAACTTTATATCTCAAGACCTCATCTTGACACACCAGTTACCTACAATTCCCAAACGCACTCCAGAGTTGCTCCGAGTCATTGATGGAACTCCTATCAGTTCAGGTTCCATTACCTGCAACACCCCAGTACTCAAACTTGAGATTCCCCTAGGAAAATCAACATTTTCAGACACCATCTCTTTAGATGTTATACCAATGAAATACCCAGTTATCCTAGGTCTTCCATGGCTTCAAAGGCATGATCCAACTATCAATTGGAAGCATTTATCGCTTGGGTTTAGCTCAAATCCTGAGCTCAATACTGAAAAAACCCTTCAAGCCTCAGTTACCCCTATTCAGGTCCAAGACTCAAACTTGTCCCAGATCAAGGATTTTGACCAAACTATGGACGATATATCATCTCTGATATGGGTTAAACCTTTCCAACCTGTCCTGGAGATAGCAGCTACTTCAGATTTGGAGAAATCATCTCAGGAGGTCATTTTGCCTTTAGCATACCAAGACTACCAACATCTTTTTGACAAGGCAAAGGCATCAATTCTGCCAAAGCACCAGCCTTATGACCATGAGATACCACTCGCAGAAGGCTCAATGCCTCCCTACGGCCCTATCTACTCTCTATCTGAATTAGAGCTGAAAACTCTCAGAGAATACCTAGATGAGAACCTTAGTTCTGGCTTTATCAGACCTTCTTCCTCACCAGCAGGAGCTCCCATTCTCTTTGTCAAGAAGAAAGATGGCTCCTTGCGTCTCTGTGTTGATTATAGGGGCCTTAATGCAGTCACTGTTAAAAACAGATA